TGAGGAGGTCCGCTCTGACGAGCGCGAGGCCGATGGCAGTGATGCTATGGTATGAGTAACTTATCTATCTATTCATCCCAGCTCTGATCGGGCATGTCGCCAAATTGCTTGCTGATATGTCTGCCACGCGCCCTGGCCCCTCCCTGACTCCGTCTGGCCGGTGGTTGGGCGCCGCGTCACGCCTGCAATCTCCTTGCTCCTGAGATTGGCGCTGGCAAGACGGTCCGCTTCCTTGTAAGGAATGCGCAGCGTGCACACCCATGGCGCCGAGGGCAGCTTCGCTCCGCAGTGCTACGTCGTCCGGAGGGTTCGGGCGTAGTTCGTGGCCACCTGCTACTCATGCTTGCTGTTGCTGCTTGGTGTCCTGCAGTCAACCTGGTCTGCGTGGACTGTCGCATGCATGCCACACACTCAGCGAACACAAATTTTCTCACTACTTGATCTCATCTTCCCAATTTGTATTACAACATTGGGATTCGTGGACTGCAGCCCCACCGGCTTCAAGTGCAGAATCAACTACCAGCCCCCCACCGTCGTGCCCCGCGGCGACCTGGCCAACGAAGGTGCAGCGCGCCGTCTGCATGATCTCCAACTCCACGGCCGTTAACAAGGCCTTCTTGCGCCTTGACCACAAGTTTGATCTGATGTATGCGAAGCGCGCGTTTGTGCACTGGTACGTCGGGGAGGGCATGGAGGAGGGCGAGTTCAGCGAGGCGAGGGAGGACCTGGCTGCGCTAAAAAAGGACGACGAGAAGGTGGGCGCAGACAGCGCTGAGGGCCAGGACGAGGGCGAGGATTACTGAGGGGTGGGTCCCTGAAGGGGAGGGCTCGCCTGTTTGAACAGCGGCCTGCGCCGCTCGCATGGCGCGCTTTCCTTTTGCACGCATGCCCCTTCGTCGGCTGCGCGCCAAGGGGTTGGGTGCGCACGGCCACTACCTTATTATCAAAACTGGATTTGCAGCCTGTGATCTCACAAGTGTGGTTCCCCAGCATGTTGTCAGCCCCTCATGCTGTGAATGCTGGTGATGCACTTGGGTTTCCTGGCCATAGATGGGGCTTCGTGCGGCATCGTGCAGCGAGGACTGCTTCTTACCTGCCAGCAGACTTGAACATCTACATGGGCACATTGGCTGAAGGCAGCCGGCAGCTACTTGCATTGGCAAAAATCCATTCGTATTTGGCCACGTTTCCCTGCAAGCACACGTCCGCACGTGACACCCTTGGCAGTCAGCTTGCACGCCACGCTCTGAGTTGTTGCATGGGCTGTGGGCATGCCGTGCACCTCTGAAACACTGATGCTGTATCGGCAAGCGCATGTGCATGGGCACGGCAATGGCTTCATCAAGGAACCGCCCATGTTGTAGAGCGAGCACGCCTGTTTGTCCGATACTAGCCCAGGTGCTGCAGCACCCTCGTGACTCATCACGACCATGCTGGACCACCTGCGTGCTTGCCTTCATGGTGCTTGTATTATTAGAACATAAGCCATGCATGTGACGGATCGCAACTCGTGAATTCATGCCCCAAGTAAAATCATAAATCTTTGCCGATCGTAGAAGGCGGCCCGCCTGTCACTTTTTGTTCAAATGGTTCGAGCCCCGACGCAGCGCCCTGAGCCTGAGCTCTGCAATTGGAAACAACTGAAGGCGTTTATCGTGTCCGGAGATGTGGATGGAGTGGGACGCCTGCTGGATCTGTACAAGGCGCAGGCCGTTTCCACGGGCGGGGACGCCCCACTCAAAAGCGCCGTGCCCAAGGTCCCAGCCCTGCACTGGGCAGCCGCGTACGGGCAGGGTGCAATTGTAATGCTCTTGATCCAGCGCGGCGCAGACATCAACGCATGCATGTCCAACGGCTACAGCGCTCTCCACTACGCGGCGCAAGGGGGCCACTCTGATGTGGCGCGCACCCTGCTGGCATCGGGCGTATGCGCCAGCACCAACACCTGTCCTGACCAACAGCCGCTGCAGCTGGCGGCCACCAAAGGCCATGTGGCAACCATGCAATTGCTGCTGGAGCATGGCGCATCGGCCGCTGGCGCCTGCGGGGAGGTGGCACTGCCGCTTGCGGCAAACAACGCTGTCCTGTTGCGCCTCCTGCTGCAGCGCGGCGCGCGCTTTGCGCCCGACGACCCCGCCGCCGGCAGCACGATGTGCTTCGCGGCAACCTCTGGCAATATTGCCCTGGTGCAGCTGCTGCTGGACGCAGGGGTGCAGATTGACGCCGAGGGTCCCAACGGGCATCGCGCCCTGGTTGAAGTGATGTGCTGCGAGCCGGGGTGCGCCCCCATGGTCGCCGCCCTGCTGGACCGTGGCGCGTCCGTCGACGCAGCTGACGCGGACGGCTGGCAGGCGGTCCATCACGCAGCTGCCCATGGGCGGTCGGACGCCCTGCGCCTGCTGCTCAGCCGCGGGGCCAACCCCAACGCCGCCGCTGTGCCCGCAGCCGCCACCGGCGCCGGCGCCTCCGATCCCGCCGCGGCCGCTGCGATGGCGGATGGTACCACCGCCCTGCACCTGGCAGCACAACGCGGGCTGACGGAAATTCTGCAGGCGCTTCTCGACGCCGGAGCGGCCCCGAACACCGCCGACACAAATGGCTGGACCGCCGCCCACTTTGCAGCCTCGTGTGCTGAGAGTGAAGCGCTGCTCGTCCTGCTGCAGCGCGGCGCCGATGTCAACGTAGCAGCCACCAGTGGGGAGGTCCCCCTTCAAATGGCGGCAGCGGCGGGCGACGAAGCGAGCGCCCAGGTCCTGCTGGACGCCGGCGCCCTGGTCGACGCCGCCGACATGGAGGGCTTGCAGGCGCTCCACCACGCCGCTGCAGCTGAGGAATATTATGACCAAGTCAACATGGCCGTCATGCTGCTGGACCGCGGTGCGTCCCCGGAGGCAACCACGCGCAGCGGCCGCACGGCGCTGCACTTTGCGGCCGAGGTGGAAAACTGTGTGCTGCTGGAGACGCTACTGGACCGCGGCGCTGACGTGGGTGCGCAGGACAACAATGGGCTGCAGCCGCTGCACCTCGCGGCCGCCTGCCGGGATGTTGAGGCGGTGATGATGATCGCCCGCCACAACAACGCATGCATCAGCACC